AAGTACATAATTTTTGTCACAATTTGCATGTGTGGAGCTGAAAGAACAAACGATTAACAACATTTATTATGTCATGCTCTCATAAAGTTCCAGCTAATAGGGTAGAGCAAATTGAATTGGACATGAAATGATTGTAGCTGAGAAATACAAACTTTGCGACATGAGTCGGGGGTCTGTTAAACAGGAGGCACCGTGAGGCTCTGGGGAGCTTCCAAGTCTGAGCGGCCACTTGCCCTCCGCACTCCTGCTTGCCGGTTTGGGCGCCCAGAAGGAAGGGAGAGCTGCGAGTGGCCAAGCACCTTCTTTCCCACCTGCTGCTCCAGGTGGAAGGAGAGTTATGGGGAGGGTTCCTGGAAGCCCACCTGCAGGCCATGACTTCCACTCACAGTTCTGTGTTCGGCTCCCTCTAGCCTCACCTGTGCGTTGGGCGCCGAATTGAGGCTTCACGAGTGTGCACCTTTGCAGTAGGATATTTGACCTGCCCCCTGGGCTGTCTCCAGTGCTCCCTTAAGGTGACTGGTTTCCACCGTCACCCGCTTCTTTGTGCGCTGATGTACCGCTGATGTACCTGTCTGACGCGAAGGTCTAAACGTAAGGGACACCTTTTCTCAGTTCTCCACATCCGTGCTGTGGTGACTGGCAGGCAGGGTGGCCTGGGCCTGGAGTTGTGCTGAGGACATCTGTAAGGCCCAGGGCCATCATGGGCCTCCAACCACGCCCTCCGCAGAGGCGGAACAAGCAGTTACAGTGCAGGGAGCCCCGGCCCCCTTGCTGTAAGGAGCATGCATGCATGCTGTGTGCTCCCCATTCCACGGGAGGCCCTGATGCACACCGGAACCCGAGGCGTGGTTTGTGTGAAATGGCTTTCTCTCTTAAATGGCAGCTTTCTCCCAAGTGGGGCACTACACAAAGCTACCAGTGCCTTCACTTGTATTATTTGCCACATCTTCTTCCTCCCACGTGGGCATGCCAGGCCGCTTGGTGGAGCGGAATACACCCAGGCCTCTTGGTTTCAGGGCCCCTTACACTCTGAGAATGGAAGACCCAGAGAACTCTTGTTTGTGGGTTGTGTCAATATTTTATCATATTGCAAATTAAACGGAGCAATTCACAAAGTGTTAATTCATTTTATAATCACATTAATAAATCAATTACATGCTAGCAGGAACATTTTTAATAAAAAGTAACTTTTCAAAAAAATGTAATGAGATGCGTTATTTGACATGTTTTACAAATGTCTGTAACGCCTGGCTTGCTGGAAGGCAGGCTGGATCCTCCTGTCTGCACTGAGTCGCTATAAGGCGCCGTTTGGGAGACTCTGTATAAAGGAAAACCACTTTTACCACAGATATGTATTAATATTTGGAGAAGGGAAGAATATTTTTAATAGCCTTTTCAGACAGTTGTGGACTTTATTCTTTGACATCACACCAAAGCTCGACAAGTGGCACTTGCTGAAAGTTGAGTGTGATGTGGAATCTGGAACCACGACGGTGAACTGTTTGAACTGTGTTTCACGAAAATGCATTAGTGTCTCTTGCACTTTGAATGGATTTTGTACTATTTCGTTAGCTGCGTTATACAGGTCTTCCAAATGTTGACATTTTATTACACAATATCAAAAATTCACATTTGTTACTATTTCCACTGCTCTCATTGGAAAAGCCTTTAAGTGTTTGGGAAACTGTGAAGCTCTTGGTGCAGATATGTTTTCCAAGATTCTTCTAATTTTTGCTTGAAAGCCTGGATTTTATCATCGGCCAAGGATCAAGTTGTGTTTCTTGAATTGATACACTTACTTCATTCATTTTCAAGAAAACAGCTGCCACGTACCTGGGTCTGAACAACCACAGTTTTTCTCTTGGTGTTTCTTGCAAGTCAGTGGTGTTCCATGAGGAATGTCAAGCTCAGCTCACAGGGCAAATGATCGCACAGGCGCTTTCCCAAGACAGTAGAAGTGCTTTTTGCGTGCACGCCCCACTTCACCATGCGGAGGGTTTTCACATGTTGAAATTCAGTAAAATAATTAATTTTATTGCTTCATCAAGGATATTCTTAAGTGAAACCAGCCTTTTTAAAAAGTGGAGTGTGTGTCAAAGACACAAGTACTGTGGTGCCACTGCCTGGTCCATGCTGGCTGGGAGCAGTTTTACTCACCATAGCTCTGTACCAACATCAACACCGCTGAATGTCAACACAGTAGAAAAGGCATGTAAAGTCTTCGTTTTGTCTCCACCACAGTTTTGACTTAGTGGATCACCTGATGGGGGTCCCTCGGGGTTCGTGGCTCACGCTTTGCGATCCTGTGGTGTGGACTTCTGAGTCTGGAGGCAAAGCCAGTATGGAGTATGGACTGGCTCCATCACTTAATGTGCTGGCCATGGGACCTGACTGAGGCCACTTAGCCTTTCTAAGCCCTGGTCTTCTCACCTGGAAAACGAAGACGGGCTTCTTTGATGGGTTGGTGTGAGGACTGCATGGGAGAACTAATGAAATGTGCCTTCTGGGGTGCCTCGTACACAGTAGGTGCTGCTGAGGGTTGTTTTCCGCTCGCCAGGCAGTGGTCTCTTGCTTCTCTTTCTCACTTGCACTGCCTTGAGGAAGGGGGGAAGGGTGGGAAGGGGACAGCAGAGCGTCCCGGGCTGTTTGTATGGGGAGAGCCTACGTTCTCTGCACCCACCAGCTCTCTATGTGTGACCCAGTGTAGTTTGGGCTAAAGAGCCAGCTTCTCTGGAAATTAGCAGGATCTTCTTCTTGTTCTCATTTTCTGGGCATCAGGGCTCTTCACAGATAACCCTGGTTCTGCCTCAGCTCTCCAGAGTGAAGGCCTAAGGGCCTTTCACAGGTGGGAAAAGTCTCAAGGATGAGGCGGGTTTTGCTTCTCAAGCTGTGCCCTCTGGGAAGGCTATTGGCCGCTTAGTTTATCATGTGTTATCTTCCTTATTGCAGTCTGGGGATTGAGGGGACACTGTGGGAATTAGCTTTCAGAAGAGGAGTTCGTGGTTTTGAGCTGCTGCTGAGGTTACGTGTCAAGTCCAGGTACGTAGTGATGCCCAGGTCTGGCTGCGGGAGAGCCCTTGCCAGCTCAGTGGTGCCAGAGGAAGAGCTGTCTGCATCCAGGCCCAGAGCTGCTGGCAGGCATGGACTGCTCTTTCAGGGGAGAACCATGCCTTTGCACCTGCAAGACTAAACCAAGTGGATGGCCCTGCGTTGTACATGAACTTGTCCTCTCTCTGCTATGGTCACACTTTGGAATTTGGGTACTTAGACCGAACAGCCTTATTTTAATCATCTTTTTTGGTAGCTAGACTCGGTGTCATGTGTATACAAGCCCCGAGTCTTGAAAGGTTTGCACATTGATGAATTTATATCCTGAAGAAGCCCCCCAGCAGGGTCCCCTGTCGCTCAGAGCACTCAGATGGGTGATGTGGGCAGCCGAGCTGCCTGGCGACTGCAAACACTGGGGCATTGAAATCTGAGGCGCTGTTAGATTTTAATAGACTTCCTCTGTCCCCAAGATCGAAAGGAGCCCTGCACCCCCAAGATGGATGGGGATATTTGTATTTTTCCTCTCCATCATGTGTGGTTCTAGAAGAGATGTGACGGGTGGCCTGGGATGAAGGATGTGAACCCATCTCATGTTGGAGTGACGGGTGTGGCAGAAGGGCGCCAGGCTGCACTTGGAAGAGAAAGGCTCTTCCTGACATTGTGACCTTGGGCAAGTCACTTCACTTTGTTGAGCTCCAGTCTTCCTTTGTAATCCATGGCTTAGGATACATGCCCTTCACCTGCTGTGGGGGGAGTTAGTTGTGAGGCTTCAGAGGAGGGACCTGGGAAGCCTGAAAATGGGGTTCAGAGGCAAGAGAACACTGATGAGCGCCCAGAGGAAGGTTATGGGAGCCCTGCAGGTGGAGGACAGACTGACACTGTCAGAGGACCCGGAGTCCGTCCTCCCAGGGCTGTGAGCCTGGCTCTGCTGTCAGACCACCTGCATTTCAGCGCTTGCTCCTCCTCCTCCATGGTGGGACCTCCAGCAAGTTAACCTTTCTGGGCTTCAGTGTTCTCATCTGAAAGTGGCATCAGACTCACACCCGCCACAGTCGCTACCTCTTAAGGATTAAATGAGATGCACACAGCCTGGTCCCTGGCACATGGGAAACGCGCAGGCCACGTTGCTCTTATCACGGTCAGGACCACAGTAGGCTTTGCCGGCACGCAGACATGTTAGGTTTCAGGGAACTTAGCTCAATGGCCGGTGGAGCTAAAGCCTGTAGCAAATACCAGATTTCAAAGCGGCCGTCATTTAACAGGGGTGGGTCCTGAGAAGCCCCTCAGAACAGGAAGGCCTCTCACTCAGCGCACCCAAGGGGGCCTTTAGGTGAGGCTCCTCTAGGTTCTTCCGGAGAAAGGTGTGTGTGTGTGTGTGTGTGTGTGTGTGTGTGTGTGTGAGTGAGTGTGAGAGCTGGTGGCATTTTCTCCATGCTGTGAGTGTGCCGGTTGTGAAAATTTGGTAACATTTCAATGGCAAAATTATATTTTGAGCATTACCTTGATTACCTTGACAGGGGAAATGGGACAGAGAGAAAGAAGCAAAAACAGTTCCTTACACGCCCCGGATTATTCTTTTTTAGTTCCTAAGAGATCGTTCGGATGTTTTCTGGAGCAAAACAGGCATATGGTGTTCTTCTTGTTTACCTGTTCTGTAAGGCTGGTGAGAGACTTCTGTGTCAGGTGCGGCAGTGACCAGAGGACTGGGGCTCAGACCCGGGCCCCCAGCTCTGCCACCCCCTGCTGTTTGACCTTGGGCAAGCCCCTCAGGTCTGCATCCTGAAAAGTGGAGAAGATGCTGGTGACCTTGCCCTGCTCAGTTCCCCGTGGGGTGTCATGAGGCCTAGATGAGAGAATCCTGGTAAACTGCTTTACAACCAAAATACAAGTATGAATAAATGGCTGCTGGTAACCAAGCTCTGACCCTCCTAATGAAATATTTTCTTTCTCAGTGATGTTACAGCCTTTCGATTATGATCCCAATGAGAAAAGTAAACACAAGTTTATGGTTCAGTCTATGTTTGCTCCAACTGACACTTCTGATATGGAAGCAGTAGTAAGTACTGAATGCTTCTTATTTTTTTTAGTAATTAAGAAAAATGATTAGGTACAGAATTGTGGGTGCATGCATTTCAAAATGTGTCAGAACTGTTTTGAAAGGGGAATGGTGTTTTCAAGGAGGTTTGTGCTTTGACTACCTTTATGGGTTTCTAAAACTTTGATTTTAACATTTTATGTAACTTTCCAGAATACTGTTCTTTTCTGACTTCTATCTTAATTTGCTTCAGCAGTTGCTTGTTCTGATGGATTGTCCGAATGGTTTGAGGATTCTCTCCCTGTAGCCCCCATCCCATGCCCCTGTTCATCACGGGGCATGTTTCTTACCATGTCCTTCTATTCCCCAGAACCCAGAGGCGTGTGAGAGTTGAATGCTAAATGTCCTGCACTCCTTAAGAGTTTTTTGTGTTGTTTTTTTCTTGGTTCTGATAAGCATGGTTTTTTTTCTTTAGATTTCTTCATTTTTTTTCCTGCTTAAATACATGTTTAACTCTCTAATTTTGGTAAAAATTAAGGTGACTTCATTTTCATAAAATAAATAAATTATTCTACATTATTGATTTTTCTGGCAAAAGATGATCATGGAGATTCCAAAATAAGCTTGTTCCATATGTGAATGTATCAGGGCCATTCTGGTGCTGAGTGTGAACCTGTGTGTGGCTCCGTAGCCCAGTCACAGCCCTGGCCAGGACAGGCGCCCAGTCCCCCCAGTTGGGGAAAGAAGGGCAGGAATGCCTCAGGGTTCTCCCCACTCCAGCCTGAGGTCATCCGAGGACTGCCTGCGAGTGTGAGTCGGCCTGACTCACGCTGCACTGCAGCTCTTCCCCGAGTTTGATGGAGAGGGCTGTTTCCCACATGGCCAGCCCACTTTTTGTCCCAGAGTCACCACACAGCCTTCCCTTTTAGTCTTGGAAAAGCATAACTGACCATTTTCATGGGTGTTGAACTTTTGGGCAGGAAATGAAGGGTTTGCCAGTTATTGGGGGGTTTGAGAGAGATCGGTGATAATAAGCCATCTTCCTTTTCCCAAGAACAATTATTGAGGCATCCACTACTTTCTCTTTTTATTTCCTGGAACATGATGTGTCATTTCACGTGAATTTGTATGAAAAGGAAACGTATGGCAAATACTAAATGTGGAACACCCAAGAAAATGTCCTGCTTGGCTTCACTGCATGGCTTACAGGGAGCAGGGGCCTGGGTGTCCGGGGCGCTAACTGAGGCCGGCCTCCTCCTAACACCTGGTCTTGCGCAGTTTTCATTAACTCTGGAGGGTTTGGGCACCTGTACCATAGGAATGACAGCCTAGCTCCCACTTGTGGCTGTGCTGGGATTCAGGGTGTAGAGCAGCTGGCCCAGTGTCTGGCAGTGGCTCTACCTGTGCTGATGACAGGCCAGACACTCTGCACAGCAAACGGTGGATCCCGCTTCCTTGTATGATCATTTTTATATGAAATGCACATTGTAGGATTTTTGTAAATACAAAAATGAGCAAAAATTAAAAGTGACCCATAATTTGTTTATACTTGACCTAACCACTGTTAATGAATGAGAAGAGCCTTGTGCTTTTTCTTTATTTTAAAATATTTTTCTTTTTATTTTGATATACAGAAAGTTGAAAAAATGGTAGTACAGTGACCACTCGCATAACCTTTACTTAAATGTACCATTTACCATTTTGCCACATTTACTCCATCTATGTCACAAACTTTGTTTTTGACTGAATTACTTGATTTGAGACGTAGACTTCATGACATTCCACCCCTAAATGCTTCCGAACAAGGACAGTCTCTTACGTAGCTGAGGAAATTACCATTGATTTACTAATATTGTCTAATAGAGAAAGCCATAAACAGCATTGTTCCAAAAATGACCTTTAGTTCCTATTCTGGTAGAGTAGCCTCAACCTTTTTTCTTGTTCAGGACTGAATTTTTTAGAATCCAGGTCAGCTGACTTGTAGAATGCCTCCCCATTCTGGATTTGTCCTATTATTTCCTCATGGTTAAACTCAGGTTAAATGTTTTTTGGCAAGAATATTCCACAGTGATGTCATGTATGCATCATATTGGAAGACATTTAATGCTGGCTGGACCTCTGTTGGTAACACTAAGTTTGATTACTTGGTTAAGATGGTGACTGCCAACTCTCCAGTGTCAAAGCACATTTGCCCTTTGTGGTTAAGAGGTAATCGGTGGCACTGAGGAAGTTGGGGGCTTGGAGATCATGGGCATACCCTGCCCACCAGCAATCTGTCATGCTGTGGCTTGAGCATCAGTGGTGAGCCTTGCCTGATGCCCTTCTGACACATGCACGCAGGTGTGCACGTAACACACACTCTTACATACACACACACACACACACACACACACACGAGTGCATGCAGAGGAACGGACTTAACAATATTGTTTGTAGCGTCTTCACAATCTTCCCCATGTAACCCAGTACTCTTCAGTATGATTTGAATGACACGCTGTTCTCTTGGCTGGATCTGCCATGCTTTATCTGGGAGTCAGTCCCCTACTGTTTGATGTATTTGTTCCCCTTTTTTGGCTCTTTGTACGTGTGTTGCTCTAGCTGCCTCCTGCATGGTTCTGGGGCAAAAGTGGGGGAGTCCGTTCCTTTTCTGTATTGTAACCTTCCTCCTGTGCTGGTCTGCAGTTCTCAGAACACCCTGAATTCCCATCCTCCACTGCCCAAAGGAGGAGGCGTAAACTGGAGTGCATCCTGCCAGATTAAGGACTTAGGAAGATGTCCGCATCAGCGGACTGGAGGGATGGGGTGACCACCGTTACCGCGCTGCGCTAGTATTAATAGTTGGCAGCCTGGTTCCCAAACCGCTCCGGAGAGAGTGTGCTCACCCTCAGAGAAGAACGTGCCCTCCAGTAGGTTTAGTTTCTAAACGAGAGCCAAGGCTACCTGTGGCCACCGGAGGTAGTTCCGAAAGTTCCCCTCTGCTCGGCAGCGGGCCTCCCTGTTCAGGGGCTCCCATAGATCAGCATCAGGGGCAGCGCGGGTTGACGTGAAGGAGCCCGCAGCAGGGCGGGATCCACAAAGTGGGAGAACTAGTCAGCAAAGCGAGTGTATTTAATCTTGACATATTGGAAATATTGAAATCTAAGCAGACTTAAGTTTATTTGATATACATCAGGCCTTTCTCATTAAGCGTATTTTTCTGAAATTGTCAGTTATAGGAAGAAAATTATTCTTCCAGCAGCTTTATAATATCCTGATTGTTAAATTTAAATTGTTTTAGTGGAAGGAGGCAAAACCGGAAGACCTTATGGATTCAAAACTTAGATGTGTGTTTGAATTGCCAGCAGAAAATGATAAACCAGTAAGTATGTTTCTAGTTAACAATAATTGAATGTTGCAAGCTGATACTTATTTGCATACCATCTCCTGCAAAACCAAGATTTAAGTTGGCAAATTATTTTCCTTCTGATGTATGAAGAAAAAAATAAGCCGAAGTCAACAAGTCAGGGTGCCCTCGTGAAGCCAGCCTTTGAAAGACGTGCGGAAAACAACTCATGCAACAATTTCGCCCCCTGCAAAGTGCACCCTGTTGGCTGTGGAAATATCATAAACCCCAAAGAGCGTCTGTGACTTGGCAAAGTTATAGGTTGCTGTTAAACGGGGTGAGACTAAACCGGGGAATAATTTGCCGTTGACCATGGTGCTTGATAGACAGGTGTAAGCGCTCAGGCTCTGTGTCACCAAGTGCTTCCTGGAGGTTTCCAGCCCACTCTTTCCCCCGGCACCACCTGTCTACCCCCAAATCCCACCACCTCCTTCTGTCAAACCTGCTTTTAGAGGAGGATTTTTCACCCTCAGCACCTTAACGTTTGGGCCGGATACTCTGCCATGGGGCCTGTCCTGGGCCTTGCAGGATGCCTGGCCTGCACACACCCCCTGGCAGTGAAAAACAGAAATGCCTCCAGACACGGCCAGATGTGCCAGGGGGTGGGGGGAAAGTGGGGGGTGGTGGTGGAGATACCACCATTGGGAAACGCCTCCTGTGCTGTCTGAGGGCCAAGGGAAAGGAGCGATTCCCCCCAAGCTGCCCGTCCCTTTTCTCGTTGTGTAAAACCGGGGCTAAGCCTGTCATGGCCTCTCTTTTGACCAGTTGAAGACAGAAGACTGTGTCTGGAGTGCTAATACAGACTTCCTTTCAACCTAGTGAGAGACACTTAGATTGTATTAAAGACGCAGTTTGCTATCCAGGCAGAGTATTAACTAACCTGGCTGTTGACAGCTGGAGCTGGGGAGTGGCCGTGCCCCGAGACGTTCTGGTGGGATGACCCATGAGGGTCTCTAGCAGTGCCGCTGACTGGGTCAGCACTGCCTAGCGTTCTTCCGCTCAGTAATGGAGCGCTGCTGTTGCGCTGCTCCTCTCAGTCATACACTGTGTCCTGGGAAGGTCAGTTTGGAAAGGTGTGAGCCCTGTATTCTGGCCCTAGCTCTGACATAGGCGCTTTGTGAACTCGACCCTCCTCTCAGTCCTCACTCATCCGGAAGGTAAAGGCTAGAGCTACATAGGTGGGTAGTTCTGTTTGTCGCTGGCACTCCAGGGCAATGGTCCCCCGTTAATTTATTCCCCAGCACACCCGAGCATCTCCACAC